TGATAAAGAGGAAAGCAGCCTTTGAGAAATGTTAGAAAGGGCTCAGAATTTATATTTGTAATGCAACACTTCAGAGAAAATCTTACATTTCAAATGCTTTTATGGGGAAAAATTATATTTAAAAATTATGTAATAGCATATTGCTCTATTTTCTTGCTGAATTCATCTGTCCTGAACTACATATGGGGGCTATAGAATTCAGTTGTAGAGATTTAACCTTCACATAATTTTATAGCCACAATTAAAATTCTAAAGATTTCATATATACAGTGCTTACTGTGATAAATAACTGGACTTCAATAAGTGGCTGTGAGTAAATAAATATATAAGAGAATATTAACTTTATCTATTGTAAGCATTTGATCATATCTGAAATATAAATTGTATTCTTAAATATTGACTCATAATACATTTAACTTCTTACTCTTGTTGTTTTGGGTCCTTTTTTGTTATTTAGAAAGTACATAATTATCTAAAATAATTTAATTCTGTATTAATTAAGAAATATTTAATAAGTCCCTAAAAATGTGTGCCACAGTCTGCTAGGCATTCTGAAAATGCAAGAGTTTCAGATTCTACCACAGAGGAGCTTGCATGTTATTTGGGGAATAAGCACAGAAAAGATAATAAGGGTCCTGTGTTCAATAAGTGACCAGAATGTGGTCAAGAATGATTACCTGAGGGATTTGGAAAGAAAAAGGGTGATGTAGGAGGTGAATTTTATTAAATCTTGGGAAATAGATAAATTTGAGTAGGCAGAAAGGAGGAATAGTATTTTCAGGTTGGTGAACACCTTGAGCCAAAATGTAGAAGTGAGTGTGATTAAAGTACATTCACAGATATACCCGGTAGGACTGTTTTGATTGCAAATAAGGAAAACCCAAACCAAACTGGTTTAAGCAAAAAGAAAATGTATTATTTTATAAAATCTGGAAGGTCCAAAGGTTGGCTTTAATGATGGATAGACTCAGCACTCAGTCAGGGTTTGGTTTATTTTCATCTCTCCACTCTACATCCCGGTGTTGGCTTTAGGATGTGGGAAGCAGCTCCAGGCCTACTATCCTCCCCAAGTTGGGATTCATTATAAATATGAAGTCCCAGCAAAAGTCTCCTTATGTCCTGTTAGCTGGATTGGGTGCCCATCCTGCCAATCATGGATACTGAGGAATGCAGTAAGCTCAGGTTTGCTCCTGAGTCACCAAATCACCTGGCCCCATCTCAGAGATGGGGGTAGGATCACCTTCACGGGAACCACAGAGTATGGTAGTGAAGGAAGTCCAAAAAGAAACTGAGGAATGGTTAACCCTAGACAGAGTAAATGATGCTGTGCAAGAAAATCAAATGAGTAACAGTGAGTATGCTGATGTTATGGGATCATTTTGAATAATAAAAGGAACTAGACACTGGAAATTTTTATTGTAGGCATGTTGTGAATGTTAGGACAAAGAAATGGACTTTATGAGGAATTCTAAATAAATCAGACTTAAGGGTAATTGACCTGTCAGCTGTGTATCAGATGGACTGGGGGTTCAGTGCTCAGGAGGCAAATGCTGTGACCTCTGTTGCCCTTTCCTATATTTCAAAAGCACAGACTTGTAGAGTATCTGCTGTGTGCCATGGACTGTGGAGAGCACAGAGAGGATGCCCAAGACTTGATCTTGCCCTCCAGAGCATCTACAATGTAACCAAAAAGACAGTGAATTAGAGTTAATTATGATCTAGACAGGATGCACAGTGATAACAGTACCAGGTTTCAAGGGAACACATGGAAGGAAGAAGTAATTAAAACCAACCATAGTCCATGGAACTGGAAGCAGAGTGAGTATGCCTGTGGACAATGACATCTTCTGGAGCATCTTTGAGAGCAAGTCAGTTGGGAGCCCTAAACATTAATTATGTGGCTTTTGAGAATATTGCAAGGGCTTGGGGAAGTAGGAAACTGCCTCTCTGTCATCAGACTCAGGGCTCCCTAAGAGTTTACAGGTCCAGGATGGAATTGTATGTACAGTGCATCCTGGCATGCAGACCTTGGCCTGGAAAGGCAAAGCATTGGACAAAGAATGTTTTATAAATTCTCTTTCAATTCTTTAAGTCTATAAATCCAATAGAAACAGCCATCATATCCTTATTCCATGACATATGATCATGACATGATATTTTCCAAAAAATAATTGGTAAACTGGCTTATATGCCACCTGAAAGTACAGAGGCATTTAAGCACCAGGTGTCACCTACAAATATGAGCAATTATAAAGCTGCTAACTACAGAAATTGCTAGGAGTGGGGAGAACTGGCCACTTAAAAGGAACAGGGCAAGGGTTCTGTACGCCGAGGGACAAATAAGGAAGAGAATAGGATTGCCCATATAAAGATGTAGAGAAATGAAAGTAAAACTGAGGGGAAAGGGACTATCCAAGCATGGACTCAACACTGTCACCAACTTCTGCATAAACAACATCATGGTATTTGTAAAGAAATAACCTATTTCAGTGGCTGAAGCCAAGAGTGTGACTTGATGTAACTGAGTAAATTATGGGGAGATGAGTTAAATATGGAGAAGGTGCCAGTGAGAGTGGGGAAGGGGAGTACTCTGATATAAGTTCTAATAATTGCATTGACCTGCAGTTACTTAATTTTAAAACAATATATTATACCAAATTGTAAAGAAAGGAAGAAAGAAAGAAAGAAAGAAAGAAAGAAAGAAAGAAAGAAAGAAAGAAAGAAAGAAAGAAGGAAGGAAGGAAGGAAGGAA